CGTGGCAGCTAGAGTCCTCTCGTCCTCTGGCTTGAGATGGCTGCCACCTATGGGTCAGATGATTGTCTGGCAGCATTAAACAATTCGTAATTACATTTTTTTTCCATAAACAGTGTAAAATTTACTAATTTTTTTCTCCACGAAAATGCATTGTCACGCACAACGAGTCGGTGTGCAAAATGTCAGCTCGATTGGATCACGGGAAGTGGGTTAAAAACGACCGAAAGATTTGCACGGTCGTAAGCAAGCAAGCAAGCACGCAAGCAAGCAAGCGAACTTAATATAAAGGATTAAAAATTAACCCGTAAAAACAAAGTTTTTCACTATAAATCCTTTATATGCGTGGCGGCTAGAGTCATCTCGTCCTCTGGCTTGAGATGGCTGCCACCTATGGGTCAGATGATTGTCTGCCAGCATTAAGCAATTGGTAATTAAATATTTTTAAAAAATTCCCTAAACAGTGTAAAATTTTGGGAAAAAATTTTCACGAAAATTAATTGTCACGCACAACGAGTCTGTGTGGAAAATGTCAGCTCGATTGGATCACGGGAAGTGGGTTAAAAAACGACCGAAAGATTTGCACGGTCGTACGCAAGCAAGCACGCAAGCAAGCGAACTTAATATAAAGGATTTAAAAAACGTTTATGTGATAAAAACAATGTGAATTAAAAAAATATTTTTTAACCGAAAACTCTCGATGGGTTCCTGCAAGTGAATGTCTAAAACACAAGAGCCACGCTTCTTCTTCTTCTCTCGGCCAGCGCGGCTGGTGGGGCGAGTTCCTTTGGGCCCGTCGAGTCGTCCACGTGGGTGCCAGCCGCCGCCACGTGGTCACAAGCGTCAAGTGGTAGCACGGCGCAGGCTTGTCACAAATGTCGTTTGTGATTGCTCAGAAATATGCTGCTGCTGCTGCAGTAGCAGCAGCGGGCATCATCATCATCAATCACTACGATGCAATATGTTTTCGTACGCATACATGTAATGTACGTAATGGCAAATAAACATCCGCAACACAATTTCGACGCCCCGTCTTCATGTGCTCTGATTAAGGGCTATTGCCTAAAACGTCACCTAGTGCGTATTGTTCCTTTTGAAGGCGGTGTTATTATTGATTGTTGTTGCTGTGTGCGTGTGCACGACTGCGAACGCAATACAGTCTCGCCAAATAATGTATTGACTTTTTCACATGTAAACGTGTGAGCAGGACATTCAGCTTACAAATGCAGTCCACGTCCATCATCAGACATGAACCTTATGGGGGGGGGACCCCGGGGTCCCATAAGCCCCCGGCTCTCGCACAAACTGCGTTACGACGTCATTGTATGTCTGTTGAAGGCGAACGACACGGCAATATATTCCTCTCGACGAGCTCTACACGATGCGCTAATCAGAGTTTTAAGGTTTTGTTTATTCTGCGCATTCGTCCTCGCCGCTGCGCTTGGATGACAACAGAACGATCTGCGCCAGGTGGGTCGCGGCATTGATGTGCGCGGTGGGACGGAGTCGTCCAAAAAATAAATTAATTCATTACGATTTGGACTTCTGCTAATTTGGGACCCCGGCGTCCCGCCATAAGGTTCATATATCCAATGCTAGATGAAAGCATGATTCCATCCTTTACTCTCCTGCGATGCCACAAACCATCTTACTCCTAAGCACGAGCCGATCTCTCTCAGAGGCATATTCTCATTTGGCTCGCATTGTCACCAGTCTCGTCCATCTGTTATCCCTTCCAGCCACGTGTCCTGTCTAAGCCCTATAGTTTTAACACAAACATCGTGAAATAAATAAAGGAAGTCGATAAAAAAAACTCGTTTGAAATTAATGTGCGCAATCTTGATTTGTGCGGGGTAAATTTATTTTTGCCTGGAATGTAGAATCAATTTAAGCAGACAACATCCAACGTGGCGCTCTGAGCGTAGAACAATAATTTTAGTCACAATTGGATTTGTCATTTTATGATTTCCAGGAAATGTTACGCGTTATATGTGCACTGTATATGCCGTCTCGTGAGAGATGGTGACGGGAAGCCCTTCATCCAGCAGTCAATTGATCATGGCTGATGATGATGATGATGGAGGATTGAAAGGGTCTTGTATGCTTCAATTTTTTGTCTCCCTCTTTGAAGCGAAGAATGTTTGAGGCGTCATTGCACAATTGTGCCATTTAATTTATGTAAACATTAAGTAAATAGGTCAACCAGTTTTGATCCAGCAGCTGGTCCTGCTGATTTGATGATATCCAGTTATTCCCATCTGGTCCAGAAGTTTTCCCTGGGTTCATACTGTAAAGGGCAGTGCTAACCTCCTATGCTGTGGTATCTGGAACGTCCTCCTTTTCTACATTTTCCTTTATTTTCTGGGCCATTTCATCCAGTTTTACACGTAAAAAATACGTGTCTTTTTAATATTAACACAATGCTTTGGTGGCTTTTAAATAATTTTGAGATTTTCATTTAAATATGGCCTAGAGTTGAGATTTTTCACAAGGTATTTGGCATCCACTCTGCAGTAAACATGCTTTGGCCATTCCCTCTTGGAAATATAGACTGCTGTAAAGAAACAGCCACCACAGAACTGGCATGCACTATGTCCTATGTCGAGGTTGAGCTTTAGGAAGTGCCGACACACTATGTTCCATGACTATTCCTTCTCCGCTGACATTTGAAACACTGGCTTCACACTTTACAGTGCTTGTAAACAATGGTGGCGCTGCACACAAGAAGACCAAGCAAAGGCTTCGGGCCCGAAGAGGCTCAAGAGGGCCCTAAATTCATAAAAAAGTATTTTGTCAAACATCAGCTAAATTCTAATCTGAGTGAGCATAATCCTCTAAAGAACATAACATGAAATTCATCTATCTACTCTTGCCAAATCTCTTAACTTTTGTCTACTTTCTCGAATCTCACTGCAGTACATGTCTATCTTGTCATGTCACTTGTATTTTAGAGATTGAAAGGCTGGCCCCCAGTGGGCCTACACCACCACTCACTGTAGCATAGTACAAGGCCCTGAAAATACAACAAGCACACATGGGTATATTTGTATTGTAATGTAAGGTTCGTACAAAATCACTGCCTACATGTCTTGCAATAAACATGCATTCACGTGAATAGATGCGGTCATGTTTAAGACCTATATGAGGAATCACAAAAGCAAAATATAAACGATGAGTGGAATTTTTTGGATATGGTACATGCATGCACATTTACAACAAAGGATAAGCATTAGAGGCTTATGAGAGGAACACATTTTCTTTCAATATTTTTAAAGGTCAAGGAGCTCCATACGAACAGCACTGAGATATGTTAAACATAACCACGCAGCATGGAGTTGGGTATATTTATCCATTGTAAATACACGACTGAATGCCCAAGTACGTTGTACAATCAGATCCAATCTACACTGTTTGTCAAGCCACTCCTCGATCAAGGCCTTCCACACCCGAGTCGATCATGGGGGGGTTGTTTGACCATACTTCACCACGCTGCTTAGTGTGGGATGGAGACGTTGGCAGCACTGGTTCAAATATCACTGGCCGCTGTTAGCCATGGCCAGGAATAAAAGTCGGGTTGCTGGATTTGTGGAGGAATCCACAAACACATCACAGCTCTCCGCTAGTCATTAACAGTGGACAAAACATGTAATTAAGCTTCTTTCTTAAACAAACAAAACTATTCAACTCACGTGATCCAATGGCAAGTAAAAATGTATCTGGTGAGGGTACTGACATTTTGACTCAATTTACCTTTGAATCCTTTGTGTAATAAAATACACGTGAAGAGCCATTCTAACATCATTGTGGCCCAAGTTAACATCAAGCTACATATATGCCGCGTGTGCTAAACCATGACTTAATTCATAAACATATCACGCTTCTTAATTCCTTATTTAACTATAACATTTTTTTCAATACGTAATTTGTAACCGATAATGTTTAATTGTACCGTATTACAGGACTTCAATCCAAAGACTGCAAATTGCAAATGTGACTTCACACATTTCAGTTACTTCGACCGCAACTTAATTCACCCCAATTTTGTTTTACTTCCACCGCCAGAAATTGCAAAAACATGTTACTAAAACCATCGTTACAGGCTCTGTGCAAGTAATTGTGTATATATATGTGGTGACATCCACCAAAACCTTCAAAGCTGCTGCCCTCACCGACGCGTGACGACTTGACATTTCTCAGGTTCAATTCGCCCCCAGGAATGTAGGCTGTGGCCTTCCAGTACGTCGAGTATGAGACCCGCTGGGAAATGAGGTCGAGAGACTCGAGAGAGAGATATGTGAAGAAATTGGGCGTGTGAACATCGATAGAAAATGACAGTTACATCACCATGCACAGATAGGTTACCGGATGAGAGGGGAATGTTTGACTTTGTTTGAGCAGGTCATCTTTGTGAACACCGACTGAAAATTAGTCTCGCCATGCAATGTTGCATTGCACTGTAGATCATCCACCAGGGAGCAGTGCAATTCTTTTTACGAAAAGTCACAATATTTTACTCCTTCCATTCTTGCATATAGGTGTCAATGTTACGATCTTAAAATGTTGACTTGCACATTCGTCGATGCTGCAACGCTATTATCCAGCAATGACATCAAGGATTAAGAGACTGTCACAGACGACGGCAACGACGCCACACCTCGACACTGCTTTCTTATGCGAGATGCTGCAGCGTTTGCAGCAAACACTCAACTTAATGTTGGATTTACAAATGTAAAAAAATGTACACCCATCATGAAAAATGAAAGTATCATCAACAATTGAGCATGTATAATACATTCCTGCGGAGTGAGCTGGTAGGAACGTTGAGTTGCTCGGTCAATGGCCAGGGTCAACGGCGGCGTGGTGTATTCCGCAAATATGCCCGACTGTGAGGACGGGCACCAGCCGGCGTGAGTAGGTTAAACGTTGAGTTTTACAAGGGCACCACGGGGTGACCAGCCCCTCCCCACCCCTTCCACCCCCCACCCAGCCCCTCCCTGCACGACGGACACAATAATCCCCTGTGGGCTGGTGTAACCAGGAGGTTCCTACCAGTATCATCTACTAGCATTTCCTTTTCAGTCGTCCAATGCATGTTTGTTGCCGACGACTTGGGAGTATTGCACCTGCGTCTCAGCAACCGGTCATTTTTATTACTATGTAAAGTATTTCAATTGATTTTTTATTCCTTATACTTAACCCTTATTCTACAAAAGATGTTCATCTCCTCCCATGAATGTTATATGCGTGTACCTGACTGAATATAACATTTGCAAGAGAGCTCCGGTACACTTTTGCACGCACACAGGAATCGACATCACTAAAACAAAATCAAGTATGTTTTTCATAGGTTTTGACAATGAATGTAATGCACATTGATGTGCTCTGCCATTGGGCGTGTCGATTGAATGGTTTCCTTCGACATAAAAGACTTGCATTTCGGATTGAAGTCGTGCATCTGTTGCCCAAGTTTCCTCCCACACAGCAAAACCTCCAACTGATCTCGAGCAATGGAGAACACGCTGCATCAGTAAACACTCCCAGGCACCTCTACAAAGTAAAAAGATACATCTAAAAGGGCATCTGTACATGTTGGCAAAGTTCCAATGGGAAGATGTGTCTGCAAAACCATGAATTGCACGAGTGGATTATAAGGGGTGGGGGGGGGGGGCATTTGCAAACGATCAACCAACCTTCATAGATTGTGGGATAATTTGAATCGGCATTTGGAAACAAGAGAAACGCTGCAATTTTGATCTTTTCTGTTTATTATACGATTTGACATAAAAATTGTTACCTTTTTTGCATGTAAATGTAATATCTATCCTGCCCCCTAACGAATCTCTTGTATTTGTATACAGCAGTATCCTTTATACATTTTTACAAGACAAATCAAACTACATTGTTTTACTGCTATAAGATGCACAGCTTTGAAAAATTACTTGGTATGTAAACCTAACAATAACTTGCAGATATTAAAATGTATCGGATTTATCTTCTTGGTTCTTTCGGTAAAGTCATGTTCTCCACCTGAAGACGGCTGCTTGCGTTGTGGCCGAAACGTCGTGAGAATTATTTTATGTTTTATTTTTATTATTTTCCTTCTACGTGACTTTACCGAAAGAACCAAGAAGATGAATCCCTGCAGTCACGAAAGCTTTAAATCGAAAATGTATCGGATTTGTTTATCGTTTGCCGTGATTTTTTTTTACGATATTCCTAGTTTTACGAGCCAAGTATGCAACCGCGTTGGTCTTCACATCTTCTTCTTTTTGCTGGCATGAAACTGTTCCGTCTTACTTTTCACGGATTTTATGAGCAATGAAAGGGCAGGGTCAACTCCCTTCTTTTTCTCATCAAGGCCCTTTGCTGCCAGTGCCTCCACTTCTGAAGGTTGGTGCTGGAGGCCACTTAGTTTCTCTTTTTCCTGGAGACGCCGCTTGCGTCCTTTCTCCATTAACAGTGCCTCTGTGCCTTTAGTTTTCCGAAAACTGGAGTCCGACGGGTCGATGTTATACAAGTGCGACGTGTAGACGGCAGTGAACCTTGGATCTTCCACATCGACCTTGGGGGGATGAGGTCAGAAGAAGTGGGAGTTAATTACATTTAAAAGTAAACGATACAAAATTGTGAACGACAGTGGTGCAATGAGTACAAACGACAAAAACTCGACACATTTGTCAAAAACACTGCCCTAAAAAGAAGACAAAAACAGGCGACTTTATTTACTGTTGGATTTTTAAAGATAAAAATGAAAGTTAATATTCTCTGACTGCTGCAAAGTGGTAGTTATCACAACCTTACGTTTCTATCATCCATAAGCCAAGGATCCATGAGAATCTAAGTCCAGCAGTATCCACCCAGTGATCACGTAAAGTAAATACCTGAATGTTGATTTTTTTTTATTAAAATCACACATTGTGACGTCATGTTGTCAAAAGCACAAGAAAAAAAATATCTGAATCTAATACGAAACGAGCCTCACCTGAAAAGTATCTTCTTCAATCACTTCCCTCTTCTTCAGCATCTTCTTTTTCTTACGCTTGCTCACGTTTTGTTGATCAACAATGTCATCATAGTTGAAGTGTTTCTTATCCTCCTCCTCATCATCCATCATGAGCAGAGCCAGTTCAGCCTGCACATGCAGTACGCACAAATACCCATGTATACACACGGATCAGAAATGTCAAACATAGAGCAGGCATTACACATTCCCGGAGACGCATATAAAACCCCATTGAAAGCTGCACTCTACCATTTACGTCATAACACCTGTCTTGGCTGCAAGAGTCACGCGAACCAATTACGTGTAATGTTTACAAAGTTTCAACAATCGATTCTTGAATACACAATTCGAAGTATATAATCCGACTACGAGAACGATATTTAATTTGTGCATCATTACATGCCGACTACATGCACTGTATTCCAACACGAAGGCTTTCTCACACCGTATCGGAGTCATGGGGGTTGGTTTAACCAAACTTCAACCACGCAGGTTCATGTGGAGTTGCTTAAGAAGGAAGTGTTCCAGAATCGATTACAATATCACTCGTCACCGATGTTATCTGGGGCCAGGAATCAAATTCAGTTTGCCCGGTTCATTAGTGCAGTGTGCAAACCACTGCCACCACAGTATGTATAACTGGTTTGTATAATATCATTATTCTGATACTATGAATGATAATTTACCATTCATAATAATACTTGACTGTTACAGAATAACTATATATCGAAATGTTTTTCAATAACTATCGCTCCTTCAAGAGGTTGCATGGGATAAAAGTCAAGCTTTAGAGAAATAATGAAAACATTGTGAATAAACAGAAGGCATGCATGAATATATTTCAGGAAATCCACACAATGTGTATGCATAGCATAACAAATCCACAAAGAATATGTTCCATACAGAGTTTTGGATTCGTTTCATGACGAGAATTCAAGTCGAAATTCCACCGGGCAGAAAATCCCACATATATGAATAAAATCAAAGACAGAAACTCATCTGAATGTACCTCCTGTTGAACTCTTTCAACAGTTTCTTCTGACGTCAATGCTTGTTCCTTTTTTCCCTTTGTCTTCTTTTTCTTTCCCTTCTTTGATGCTTCTAAAAGTTCAAAGCAGATCATGACAATAATAACCCGGTTTTCATGAAAAAAATACTGCAAAATATAAAATTAAAGTGGAATATTTTCACCTAGGCCGATGAAATGTATTTCTTCCATAACTCTACATTCAATGAAATTTACAAAACTACACATATCCTTCGAATGTAATGTGCCAAAAGTTGATTTGTACCCACAAATTTCATGGAAAAAATGCCAGATAAATTAACATCTGAGTAGTTCACTTCGTTCAGCATTTTATTCAATTGTACTATTTTTGTTGGGAAACACTTTATCAAGTTTTTCATAATCGGTCACGCGAAGTGCATCCAGGTAAACCTAAATCATACCTGTTCCTTGGAGTTCCTCTCGATGAAATTCATCGCTGAGGTCTACATCTGGAGGGAGTTCCTCATCACTCACCAAATCCTGGGTCTGGACACAATGAAATGGGGAAGCCACAATCGTATCAAGAGTCAAATATCCAATCCAAACACGGTCCAATACAGCACTCTTATGCATCCTCTTGTTGTACTGGGTGTTGCTCTGCACCATTTCGCTCCACATGCTGGAAGCTTCTTCACGAACTATAATGAGGAGCTCACCTTCTCCCTCGATTGGGAACTACTCAACTCGGTTCCTGAACACGCTCCGAGCATGTGGAGTGAAACGTCGAGCATCACGACAAACGGAAACAACCCGAGAACAGATCCAGCAATGACCGGGAAAACATTTGCAGTCGTATACAACACAATTTTCTTTTAATGTATTTCTAAAACATACAAATAATAATTACATCGATGCAGAGAAGTGGCAGTTAAGCATCACGTGTGGGTGATGTAAATCGTGAGTATGTGCATTACAACAAATCTAGAAATACTATAAACGTATAAAAACTAGGCAGACATTATAGAGGATATAACAAATAGGAATTGCATCCAATAAAGGCCCATTGGTTTTTAAGATTTGAACAGAGGGACAGTTTGAAATTCAGAAGGGAAATGGACTGCTCCAAATTCTAAAGAACCACTGCGACAGTGGATGGGACGTAATCTGAGTGTTATTTGGTAAGGAGGAATAGAAAAACTTGAGGAGAAAAAAAAACACGGGATATGTTATTGTGTAAAGCAAGGAAGAATGTTGCTGCGATTCCCTCATTCCCAGTGAAGGTGAACCAGAATCAAAAAAAGTTCACACAACACATGGTCCAGGTAATGAATGAGCAATTCAAGGTTATGAAATTCTTAAAATTTATCGATGCAAAATAAAGGGTGTGATAATATTTTAGCCATCGGAATAATTATGAAAATGTATACATATTAAACTCTAGATCAGCGGTCGGGAACCTATGGCTCGCGAGCCATATATGGCTCTTCCGGTGACGGCATATGGCTCCCAGACAATTTTGAGTTGAAAAAAATAAAAAAATAAAATCAGTTTGGAACTGATTTTAAAATACTTGTGATATTGCTTAATAATACTGTGTCTTTTTAAAGTAAACAGAAATTAGTTTTGAAGATAAATTTCACGGGTCACGGGTCCCGTGACCAGAAGTCGCATTAAAAGTAAGACATATTTAATTTATTAAACGTTAAAAATACTATATGGCTCTCAATGAAATATATTTAGAAATATTTGGCTTGTATGGCTCTCCCAGTCAAAAAGGTTCCCGACCCCTGCTCTAGAAGATGCTCGGCATCGTTATGAATGTCAACCTGCACGTCCTTGTGTTTCTTCTTTTCCTCTCGCTTCTGCCTTTTCTTCTCCTTACGCTTTTCCAGATACTGCTCCCAAGGGGTCAAAGCATCCTTTCCCTCCAGCTTCTTCTTCACCATCTCTTCCGCCGTTTCCTTGAGACCTACGTCAACAATATGAAGAATGTTGCATATCAAAGATTAATGGATGCAAGTCGCAGCAGCACCAGACGATCGGTGGCAACGTTATCAAAAAGAAGTCAGGATTGCATTTTTTCCCAAAAGAATCGCACGCTATAAAAAAGATTACTTGCAAAAATCAGGAAAGCTTAATAAGCATACAACACATAATACCCAAAAGTTCTCAAATATTCGCATTGGTTCAAGCAGCCTTAATGAACTCATTAATATGTTTACAAAGTTCAAAGAACACTGGCTCTTCTCAGAGGACTTACGTAATGTGTAAACATTGTGGCACATGCCCTGTTAATTCACACAGGCTGCACAATTCCTTTCAAGCCTCAAAAAGTAATTTACTTACCAGCAGTGAATGACTGGTGCAGTTGATTGCTCTCTTTACAATGCACTCATTTCCAAGGCCCTGCTAACAACACCCCTAGTATATATTTTTTAGGCTTAGATGAAGGCAGCTTCCGAATATTTAACAATATCACGTGAAAAGTAGTGCGCTTTTACTCCCTTGCTGGGGAAACACTATCATATCCAAACATTTAAAATTCCTAATTGCTATTAAAATGCCAACATTAACCTCATGAGACCAAAATAAATCCTGCAATAATCACACAAGATGTAAACCTCTTGTTTTTCTATTCAAGTAAAAGTCAGAATTAGTAGGTTCCATGCAATGTTCTGAGGGCAGAAAGCAGCATACCAGAAGGGTTTTAAATGGACACTTTAGTTTGCAACATTTAAGCTAACAAAATCTAGCATAAATGTTGTAGGGGGGGGGACAGTGGTACAGTGATTAGCGCACTGCACTAAGAAACCTGGTGACTTGCGTTTGATTTCTGGCCACAGCTAACATCAGAGGCGAGCAATATCTGAACAAGGTTCTGGGCTCCACCCCTCATTTCACCAAGCCACACTGACCAGCATGATAAAGAATTTTCTAAGATTCCCCCACGACTCTTTAAATGTGGCATTAACAAAGGACACAAGTACTTCATTCTTGCTTTCAGCGTTAACAGTGCTCATGTGGACGCAGCCACAAAATATAAAAATGACAATGTATTAAGCAACTACCACTTGTGAAATATTGTGGGACGACCACAATAGTTTCTAAATATTTTAAAAGTCAATATTGTTCACATCAACTGCACCCCCTTGTGAACAACTGGCAATACTGCAAGCGTAAGCCAATTATCAAAATGATGACTTGCTGTACAGGCGAAGATTCAGGTAAGAGGCCTCGAATCCAGCAGTGCATTAACAACGGCTGACGACAATGATGATGAATTGCTGGAAATGTCAGAGATTGCTCGAGTGGTGCATTTTTTTCTAGAGAATTAAAGCACAGTAGCACGTAATCAAAAAATATTTCAGAAAGGAATAATGAAATCTAATTTTCTTAATGAGGTAGCAGTAGCGCAGCGGCGAGTGCCTTGCACAATCATCCTGGAGACCCAAGTTCTATTCCTGGTCATGGCTAACTCGCACTCAAACAAACCCGATGAATGACAAAGCATGGGTTAGGACTCCATCTACCAGAAAATTGACAAAGGACTGTCAAGTTTCATAAAGTTATTAGTTCTGATAAAATATGCTTCCATGGTGTTAGCGCACTTAAACTTGCAAATCAGAGGTCGCCGGTTCGCTGTCCTGTTGCGGCAGTTGAATGAGCAAGTTTCTTAATTCCCCCACCTTTGTCTACTCAGCAGTACATGGGTATAACCACGACGAGTCGATCGGCAGGTGGGGTAAATTCCAGGTAACTTCGACCTCTTCCAATAAGTCTGGCCAGCGGGGGGAAGAGTAGGCCAAAAAATAACCTTTAGAGGAACTCTTTATTTGGAGTCCCTTCTACCAGCATTGGCGTGAGCGAGTAAATTCAGGGCTCTACCTTTACCTTCCATTACCACAAACCGTTTTTTGGGTCGTTTTACAGAGACTTGTAAAACCACCCAAAAAACGCGTTAAAACTATTTGGCGACAACGTTTAAAAATTCTAAATTAAGTCTCGAAAATTGGTACCACGTCATAAAAGTAACATTTTACCTGGAACCCAGGTTATCTCCATCTCCATGTCCCTTTCTTCCGTTTTTTCCTCGTTAATGCCCTTAAGCAGCTCCCTGTATTTGTTAATCATTTCCTCCTCGCTAACTTTTTTATTTTTTTTCAAAGACGCAGATTCCGATCCGGATGGTTTCGCATTCAACTGCGTGACTTCCTCTTCACCGATATCCTCTTGAGGTTCCTGAATAAAATCATCTGAGGAAAAAAAACGATTAAAAAAAAACATTAAGTGATTTGTCTTCATGGAACATTCCATTTGGTATAAAAAAAATTACAGGAAACATGAAGGCAATTGTTGTTGCAATATATGCATTACTCCTAGTAAAAACTCTTGAGCACAGAAAACTAAAAAAATGCATAGAATCTCTACCACTGTTTTGTCTCATCCAAATTCTGTCGAACCACCGCACTTGCAGGTTATAACAGCTCTCTTTCTGCTTCTCTCTCCGCACACTGCTCGACTTAGGAATTCCCTCCCATTGTCCCTTTTCCCAAGTTCTTATAAGCTTGGTCAATTCAAGAAACGTATTCATTTGATTGCAATTAAATAATGCAAGCGGTTTGATGTTTTGTATCTTTGGGCATGTGCTTGGCAATTGTGATTTAAAATAACAACAGGAGTGCGTCACAATTAATACAACAGTTCTATAAACAAACAATAATTGACCACAATATTGTTGAATATCTGTTATGCAGGAAGCCCATTATCATCAGTACTGCCGTTGTTACCAATTGCCCTGTATGCAAAGCACAATGGTTTAGCAGAAAATATCTTACTTGGTTCCTCATCCTCATCATCATCCTCACTGGAGGATGCTAGGTATGCTTTAACATCCATTTCCAATATTTCGTCTTTTGTGAAATCTCTTTTCATGAGCGTTTGGACCCGTTCATGATCTGTTTCCTCCCATGTCAACTCCACCTAGACAAAAATACAATTGTGGTTTTATAACGTGCAGAGGAAGCGGATTCACATGTGTTTCAGTACTGTTTGTTTTGCTCGAGGCTGGCGAGTCTACAAAAGCATTACGGTTATTAAAAGCACTTCAATGACCTTTTCAACATTTATATGTGATAGATGAAAATCCTTGTGGTTAATGTAAGCATGATTCCTTGCAAAAGGTGTCAGTTTTGTTGCCAGAAAAAAAGGGGAAAAACCCTATTAGTATATTTTGGTACTGGCAAAGGAGGTCCCATGATGAAGCTGCTCACCCCGAGCTCTGATTACTCTGGTAGTGCGTTGTCTTTGAACTGTGCGCCTTTTGACGTCATCTGGTCGAACACAATATGAGACTAGGCTCTAAAGAAAGCTGTCTCTGGTGTGGACCAATCAGTTTCAAAGACAATGCATAAATTATCAGAGTATTGTTTTTTGTTTGCATTTGACTGCAAGTATTGTGGTTAATGTAAGCATGATTCCTTGCAAAAGGTGTCAGTTTTGTTGCCAGAAAAAAGGGGAAAACCCCTATTAGTAGATGAAAATCCTATTTTACTATTAAACAAAACAAAAAAACATCATAGGTGATATTTTTGGGCAATGATCATCTTATTCAATAATATTGCAAGTAAAAGTCCTCGCTCAACGAGTGTTCACACAAGGCATATTTTCTAAAACGTGCTTCTTCCATTAGGGAACACTTTTTAATCAACGTAGAATGTGCCGTTATAACGTGGAAAACGCCCCGTTATAACGTGGAATACTTTCTTGAGCTGTGCGGCTGAGCAGTGTGATACAGTATGCGGAATGATACAGTAATGCGCCGTGGACCCTCAAGTTCTCTGTCCCGCCATCTTAATGTGTACACATCATATCTCGCCCAACTTTATCGTTACATTATTTATGGTGAAATAGTTTTCGCTTAACGCATTCGTCGCTTCACGCGGCACTTTTCAGGAACACACCGACCGCGTTAAATAAGTACATTAACTGTATTTCAAGAAAATAGAACAAAACTTGCAACTCATAATTCTTGTGCTAGTTACCACCAAGAAAAGCCACAATGTGCGAAAGTAAAGCTAGGAAAGCAGTCTCGCGCTGTGAATGGTTACAAACAACGATCACACACTCCACGCTCTTGTGCAGCTGTCACCTTTGACATTCCAAGAGCAGCTGAAGTAAAGTGCTTAGGTTTGTATGACTCTGAATCCACTTCAATAGCCGAGTCCACTGGCTCATCATCAAAGGTCATGCCATCAGGTATAAACCTACAGAGCAATGGAGGGGGAAAACATCAATGACAATGATAGCTCTCCCATGTGCTTTCGTGTTGTGAAGCATGCAGTTCGGCACAATGCCCAACATTTCGTTCCAATAGCTGGCAGCTTCTTTATAAACTGAATAGGGCACAGCTGACAATATTCCTCGATTATATTACATGCAACTGTAAAAACCTACGTAGTAATATGCATCACAATTAAACACATATGATCGTTAACACCGATTGAGAGAAGTTAACCTTGGTAAAACTCGTTTCTCTGGTTCATGCCACTACCCCCTGGTTAATTGGTTAATCTTAAAAAAGTTAACCCGTGAAAACAAAGTTTTTCACTATAAATCCTTTATATGCGTGGCATCGGTTTTATTTTATTATTCATTTCTGTTTTTCTTGAGTAAGAGTTTCATTTTTATCACATTGGTCTTTTAAATTAAATATGAAAAAAAAATCCTAAAAAGTGGAACATTTTGGAAAAAAAATTCACGAAAATAAATTGCCACGCACAACGAGTCTGTGTGCAAAATGTTAGCTCAATTGGATCACGGTAAGTGGGTTAAAAAACGACTGAAAGATTTGCACGGTCGTAAGCGCGCAAGCAAGCAAGCAAGTGAACTTAATATAAAGGATTTAAAAATGAGCAATTCCCACTCAGGTCATGACATGTGATGCAGATAAAACAGTCAGCTTGAAATAATGGCTCACATAAACATTTAATTATAATGTAATATCAACTTGAAACCAGCACAGCATTTGCTCACTCTCAAAGGGAGCAAACGACTCGGAGGCACGAAGAACCATGGACAAGTAGAGAAACTAGGCAGTGAGCCCGCACTTCCAACAATTTCCTAGACTTTAAGTCAAGTAATCAATGATAATAGGTTTTCCCCTTTTTTATGGCAACAAAACAGGTGTTAAAAGATGTTAAAACACCAAACTGAAACCTTTTACAAGGAATCATGTCTGCATTAACCACAATGCTTGTGGCCAGAATGCAAAAAAAACACTGACAATATATGCATTGTCCTTGAAACTGATTGGTCCGCACCAGAGACAGCATTCTTTTGAGCCTCGTCTCAAACGGTGTTAGACCAGAGGACGCCAAAAGGCGTACAGCCCAAAGACAATGCACTATCAGAGTAATGAGAGCTCGGGGAGAGAATCTACATCATGGGACCTCCTTTGCCAGTACCAAAATATGATAATAGGTTTCCCCCCTTTTTTCTAGCAACAAAACAGGTGCTAAGATGTTAAAACGCCCAACTGAAACCTTTCACAAGGAATCATGTCTGCATTAACCACAATGCTTGTGGTCAGAATGCAAACAAAAAACACTGATAATATAATCAATGTTTACACTTGGGAGGAAATCAGAGCGCATGGAGAAAATTCACACGGGTTTATCTCAAGAGCTTTTAAGTAAAAACACAATTCTAAATAAGTACTGTAAATTGCATTTTGCAATATCTCCGTTTTGAGTCTTCCATGTACACATTGTGTACTCACTATTGAAACGACTGTTCAATATCTTCAAGCATTGGAAGCATGCAAGCTATCTAGACATTCTTCTCCTTCATTCCTCACTCCGATGCCAAATTTCATTATAAACCTCTCAATACTGTTCTGTTTTACTACAATATACATTGAAGTCACCCATTACAGCGTCAGGGTGGGCACTGTGGGAAGAGTGGGGGGAGGCCTTCCTCCAGCAGTCGATAGGTAATATCTGATCAACACGATGATAATTATGAAGATGTATGCTTTAGTATCTACTTACCTAAGATCAATGAAGGAAGAACTGGCTTCATATTCCATTCGATCACAGCCTTCATAAATGGCAATGGCAGTTTCTGGTGAATCGCACTGAACCACAGCGTAAAAATACTTCAGTCTGTTAAACTGGTACTTTCGCAATTGTTCTTGGAAAACTCTGTAAAAAAAGATTTGTTTGAAAGAACGAGTTCAATTTATAAAAAGCAATGTAAAAGTATCGTTTGAAATAATCCACAAGATGCATTTTAATTCCAGACATTTTTAAAAGAATGTGATGGCTTTGTAGTTTGGTGGATTATCTACATAAAGCAATTTTCAACTCTAGCATGACTCACTAGCATTTACTTGACCTTTTATTTAAAATATTTTAATCATGTTTTAAAAAACCAGCACAAAACCAAAGTATATGGACGCTGGGAGATCGGTAATCACGTAAACAATCCACTGTTAATATCCAGCCTTGACCTAGGAAAACAACAGGGCACTTACTCATCCTTGGCATTGAGCTGGGAGTCTTGCATGTCATCTGGCAGTGTGTTATCTGCCAGCTCAGCAGGCCCATGTAGCTTCTCATGCTCCATTCGCTCCTTGCCATACTCTGATGGGTAAATCTGACATCACAGTATGTTTTATTGATTTGATTTTATCTTATTTATCCAAAAATCCACATCTTAAAATACATATTTCAGCACCCAAAGTGGAAATTGTGAGAATGCCGAGATACAATTTGCATTTATTTATGTTACACGAGTGAAAGGTGAACGTGCAGCTCTGCAATTGCTTGTGTATGCCATTGCTGGCAGAAAGGCCTCCACTAGAGGCAATTCTGGAGGTCGACTGGACATCTGTGGCAAAAAAAATTGCTTTATAGCTCTTCGGATTCCTTCAGTATAAAGATTATTAATTCTGTCTACTCTTCCATACTGGTCAGACATATTGGAAAAGGTAGGTGTACCCACACTTCACTCCACCACATGCGACCTTTGGATCGATTGCAGTGTATCCATATATACTGCTAAGTTGGAAGTGGCAGGGACTGCGATTTAAAAAAAACATGCCCATTGTCTCGACTATGAAGAATGAATTGAACTGGCAGACTCTACATAGATTTATTTTTATAAAATGGATATGACAATCCATGTACAGATGCCCTGCTCATTTCCAATGACCCGAGTATTTTTTCTCAATAGTTGATTGAATGTTGTGAAGGCAATGGCTCCACATCTTGCAGAGTGTCAAAATTAAGTATAATGAGATTTGTGGCAAATTAAATGTTTTTGGGGCTTTAAATTAATTTTAGAAATGTATAGCTTATTTTAATTTTAGTGGAATATATTATAAATGTATCACCCCATATTATCCGTAAATTGAAAACATATGGTGTTGTCACATGGCATTCGAGTTTAAATAGATGCACAGTAACATGCTATTAAAATTACAATACAACACCAACAGGCATATATCCCATTAAATGGGTCCACTATTGACACAAAGTTTAAAAAATAACACCGCAGCTGCTTCAATAAATGTTTATTTTGCTATGTTCTTAGTGTGCACGTGCGTGGATGTTCCATAAATAAGTACGTTTAAAGAATGTACCAACAAGAATTCCAACCAAAGCTATGCAGCAAATATATTTTATCTGTGCAGTACTAACATAAGCCAGCCAAATAAAATATTTATAGGAAAGACCTGTATGTTCACATCTTGAAAGGCCCGCACACTTTGATGCTGGGGCCTTGTTTAGCCTTCTATTACATAAAGCTTTAACCCAAAATTGAATACAATTTAAAAACCATATTAAAAGCAACAAACCACATATGGGGATTAAGTTTGCTAAACTTAATATGTACATTACATAATTTCATACGAGGCTGTGTGGAATTCAAATAATGGGAAAATGGCTTCCTTGAACTTTTCAATACCTTGACAGACATGACAACACCACATTTGGGCTTGAAAGAGTCGAAGAGAACCAGCAGATCTTTGGCCTTGATTCTATCCCAGTCAATATTACAGACGGCCAAACGTCGTGTGACCTACAACACACGCAAGTGCAGACACACCAAAGGGTTTCACAAGGATGTTATTACAATATTTATGCCAAAACAAATGTTAGCAGTTTTCCTAAAATTAAATGTTATGAAATATTTTTTTTACAAAGTAAAACAAAATAGACACATAATTATTCTATGTAGATAATTTTGCATGGACAATTAGCGCAGTATGTTGTAAATATTTAAAGCAAATGCTATTTAAATTGTCTTTTAAATCCTGGGGTTCCATGCAACAAGATGTATACATATAAAGGCCAACTATGCAAAGTACTTACATTATCTGCACGTGGTGCATCTTCACCAATCTCTCCCCATGCATGTTCTACCAGCATCTCTGGTTCTTCATTTAACATCTCTTCAAAATCCTCCTCATCTGAACTTGATTCCATATTTCCAACACCGCGAGCTATGTCTGGTTCACTATCATCGTCGTCGTCATCATCATCATCGTCGTCATCATCAGCAGCAGAATCGACTTTTGTACCCTTCTTCGACACGCGTGATGTCACTGCATCTTTGTCATCATTTTCTTCCGCACTACCACGGTGAGATCCGGCACCCTCAAACTTTTCAGATTCGTCTTCCAATTCTGCGATGAAATATAATTAATGTTCTTAACAAATGGAGATTTAAACTCAAAGCTCATTTGTATTTACAAATTAACATTGTTTACAAAAACAAGGTTACAGTTTAAAATGTACAATACACAACACAGACAACTATGTGTATTCGACAAGTATTTGAAAACAACTTTACAAAAAATAAATTAAAGCGCTATATAGATGTATGATTAAGTAACAGTACCTGAAATGTCACCCTTTTTGTTAGATTTCACCTCCTTCACAATGATTTTTTTGGCCTTTTCAATTGCCGACTGAGTCTGGTTTGTCTTCACGTCTGCATTTCCAAAAGTGGTACTGGACAATTGTCCAGTATGTTCAGTTTTTTGGGAAGATATCAACGCCTTTTCTTTTGCTCGTTGTGTCTTCACGAGATTCTTTTTATTTTTAATAGAACTCTTTTTCTCAGATGTTTCTTCATCACCATCGTCGCTTTCAGAGTTTTCGTCTTTCGTAGTTTGTTTTGTTTTGGCTTCCTTGGTATTATCAGAATCAGAGGCATTGTCATCAGAATCGGAGAGCTGGTAAAACCTTTTGAGGTCCTCCTTACTCGTGTGCTGGATGGGCCTACCACGTTTGTCCACCGTGTATTTAAGTTTAAAGCGTTTTTCATTAAACATACCCTGGAAACGTTTGTCAATTTGAATTTTTCTTTCCTTCTCTGGCATTTCCCAAAAGCGTGGGTCCCTGCTGACTTTTTTAAAGCGTGCATCTTGAGAGATTAAGTCTCCCTTCATTGGCATGTTTGCAATCTTTTACTTGCAACTAAAATATCAAGTCTGGATTCTTCACTGCCGGTTTCCCTATGAAAATGCACACACACAAAAAACAATCCAGTTTTAGTTTTGTTACACATCTGACAAACTAGAGCATGATCTCATGTCACAATGTTATTTATCCTACCAGCATTTGCAATAAAAATGAATTCATCTGCTGCAGGGCAGCAAAAACGCAACTATATTTAATTAGTTGTTTGTGAAAACGCCAAAAACACAAGACTCAACTGAGGAAACAAAGTAAACCGTTTCTTGGAATACTTTTCATAACGTTAACTTTGTAAATGCATCACATATGCAGGCCTCGTTTAAATTGAGTATGCCCAATTCATACAAGGTATCGCCTAACACAGCGGTCGGGAACCTATGGCTCGCGAGCCATATATGGCTCTTCCAGTGACGGCATATGGCTCCCAGACAATTTTGAGTTGAAACAATAATTTAAAAAAATAAAAAATCAGTTTGGAACTAATTTTAAAATACTTGTGATATTACTTAATAATACTGTGTCATTTTAAAGTAAACAGAAATTAGTTTTGAAGATAAATTTCACGGGTCACGCCTGCATGAAGCTCAACCTCACCACGTATGAACCAGACTACAAGGCCATCAGCAAAACCATGCAGCACCAGAAGTCGCATTAAAAGTAAGACATTTAATTTATTATACGTTAAAAATACTATATGGCTCTCAATGAAATATATTTAGAAATATTTGGCTTTTATGGCTCTCCCAGTCAAAAAGGTTCCCGACCCCTGGCCTAACACATCTCCTTTGTAAGAGACCTCGGGACAAATAGTTAAGAGGCGAAGCCCTCTAGTTTATTGGTCACGCCACTACTGGCGGAAGAGCCTTCACGAGAGGGGGCTCAAGAGGGTATTTTCGCCGACTGTTCCATGCTGGACAGACGTCTCGGAAGAGGTTCGAGTACCCAGATTTTACACCATCTATACGCGACCTTCGGATAAACTATGGACAAACACAAATCGTAAAAAGCTGTGGATCGGTTTAATATAGCCAACCGATGCAGTGCTTCACACACAATATTCCTTAGCAAAAAAAAGTTATTCCAGTCCAGCAAGTAGGAATGCACGGCCCAGAGCACACATTTTGTCAAAATAGCATCTGCTAAAGCATAAATTATAACACTTTTTGTTAAAATCTGTTGTTGGAATAAGTGAAAACTATATAAAAGGTTATGATGTAATTTATATTTATTGGCCAGAGACCGCTACGACTAACGTTTCACAACCCTCAGATGGCATGAATTTCTGCTCGAGCGTATGGACTTACGACGGTGCAGAGTCTGTGTTTCTCCCCTCTTGAGCTTCTGAAACAGTTTACTTTTTGCAAGGTACAGTACCGTAACCATCTCAAGCACGATTTGTAAAAAGCACACTCATTTGTGCAATGTCATTTTAGGATTCATACGAAGTCCCCAAATGTGTTAAAATTAACATACTTTATGTAATTTAATCGTGAATATAAATCATAGCAGCCCAGCAGAGTTGTCATGATGCACGAGAGTTAACGCAACAACCATAAACCGAACATTTTAACATTTCCCTAAGCGAATCTTAAAACTCACTAACAATTTACCTGGGTCGTACAACTACAGCAACCAACATGCTCACTGGGTCGACGACACAATGCTTGACCGTGTCGGTCATGGGAATGATTTTGTGACCATGTTTCACCGCGCCTGGTCAAGGTGGGTTAAAGGGGGGCTGATTTTGGACAGGTTCAGTTATCCATAATATAGGGGGGGGGTTGTCATTTCTCGTCACCGATGGTAACACTATGTAACACAATTTTTGTTCCTGGGTACAGTGTTATTTTTAATTGCTTATGCCTAAAAAGTATAGAAAATGGCTATTATTCCCCACAAACTTTGCTTTTGTGACCAGGCCTTTACGTGAAGGAATCACCCAAATGCACACCACGTTTTCTCATTGAAAATATGTACATTTCAAAATACCACTGTCCTGGTCACAAAAGCAAAGTTTGTGAGTAATAATAGCCATTTTCTGTACTTTTGAGGCATAAGCAATTAGGAAATAACACTTACTATCCAGGAACAATTAATGTTTGTTACACAGTGAAATACGTGGCCGGGAACAGAACTCGGATAGCCAAGATCCTAAACATGGAATGTAAACGAAGGCCACACTGAAAAAGTAGGAATGCTACGGGCTTTATTATGCGCAAGAATGCCTGTACGTTTAATACGTTACATCATTGTTCACCTCGATAAAAATATAAACAGGAGCGCTGTACACTCAGGCCCTTCTCAAGACGCGCTGGCACTGTACGTGTACAGTGCGGCAGGAACGCCGCCGACACATTGTGAGGGGGCGTTCCTGCCGCACTGTATAGTCGTGGACTCGTGCGTCGTGGACTCGTGCGTCTCGACGTCCACCTGCTGTACCTGGACGTAAAATGAACGTCGTCGTGACCACGCGGCACGCGAACGGAGACGCAACGCGCTTCGGCAGCTGCGCTCGCGTTGCCTCGATCAGGACGCGGCCCTCCACTCCACGTGCGCTCCACGTGATCCGGCGTGGCAGACATGCCTTCCCGATTCGCGTTCGCAGATTCGCGGAATATGCAAAGTGCGTATACAACATTCGGTATTTATATACACGCACTATAATAATAATAAAAAACATTATTTAGGAGGAAAATTGCTTTTGTACCGTTACTTTACACGACACGTATAAAGTTGTTATTTAATTTAAAAACCCAACGCTTTAAGGTTGATGTTTAGAAAAGATCGCTTCCCCGTCAGAGTACTGATTCGTAAATTGTCATTTCCTCTTGCCAGGTGAGAGGTTTTCCCCCTCTATGAGTAGCAATTAATATAGGCACACAGAGAGACACGTGTGTGTCTCTCTGTCTCAGTCTCTCTCTGCGTGTGTGTCTGTGTGTCGCCGTGTCTATGTTTTGTCTCTCTCTCAAATTTATCAATCTTTGGAAGAACGTGATCAACCAGATGGGGTGTTGACTGTTTTGTTGAACGACTCTCTTGTGTTGTGTTGCATTATATTTCCAAGTTTACTATGTTTGTTTTCTCATTCATTTGTACCTGATGATGGTTGCTTGTGTTGCAATTGAAACGTCGTATTCTATTATTATTACTTAATTTCTTTCGACGTGACTTTACCGAAAGAACCAAAGAATAATTCCTGCAGTCACGAAAGCTTCGAATATAGTTTGAATTAATATTTATTTTAAATATCTACTAGCCACCACAACTTTTACAGCACCGTACGGCCCTTGTTGTCAATCCACTGCTGGATGAGCGTCCACCTCAGCCCTGAGTGTAGTTGGGGTACACATCAGTGCCCTTACCTTATTAAAAACAGAGACCTTATTGACCACCCCGTGCCCTTACAAATCTCAACGTTCATCCTACAAAGTCCCATCACAAGGGAGAAACACAAATAAATATATAAAAACATTGTTTGCCCGTATTGAAAAAGTTGCACGTCGTATGGATATGAAAACTTGATTTCCCTGTACAAGAATACGAGGTAAACCGTATGGGTTGACACCAATATACCCTACACTATACACTACTATACACATACCTGTCAACCCCTGGTCATCAGTTCCTTATTACACCAATTAAGACCCTATTGGTCACCCTGTGCCCTTATAAATCTCAGCGTTCGTCCTACAAAGTCCCATCACAAGGGAGAAACACAAATAAATATATAAAATATATATTTTACTCAATTTCCCTGTACAGGAAAACGGGTAAACCCGTAGTTTTCCGACCATACTTCACCACGCCGGTCAGCGTGAGGTTTTAGATTAAGCCAGGGGACAATTCAAGGGCCGCAAAGTAACAATTGATTCTGCTGCCCCCTATTGATAGCCCAGCAGCCTATATACGATGAGCAGTATCACTAAAACATTTTTATCTTACCCAGGTGAGACTAACTGAGAAGTGACCTGGCAACAAATGATGAGCTCGTCATCACGTGGAAATGTATATCAACCAAATACTCTGAATTCGCGTGATGTTGACTCTAAATGTGTAGGGAAAACCCCGGGCAGAGAGAGACAGAGAGACAGACACAGCAAACTCCAAATATACAGCAGACCCGAGGGTCGGGATCGAACCCACGACCTCCTGCAGACCAGGCGAGGGAGTTAACATCTCGCGGTGACGAGACGTTCACCACAATTTCCATGCACAGTACAGTACCGTAGTGAAATTAGCTGCTTCAAGTTCAAGTTCATTTATTAGGTATAGCCCTGTGAGCCATTCGGCTCTTGAATCGGGTGCAACCGCAACAAACAAAAACATGAACAAGAAACATCTTAAAGTGAATATGTGACTAAGCCCAAACAGAAAATCCAAGAAAGGACAGCAAAATATTGCAGTGAAAGCACGGTACACCTGGTGGCACGACCCAGCCGCTTGTGGCAAAGGTTCACGGTTTCCATTTACAGCGGCCGCCCTGGTCAATAACTGCGCATGTAAAAACCATACCTCTGCATTGCGCGTCGCCTGGTTCACACAATTCGCGTTATATAACCCGCGACGCCATTCGCAAGCGTAGGGTCATTTTCCAGAATCGGGGGCCTAAATTTGAAAAAAAAATGTCTGAGCTGGAATATGCATTATCCCTCCCCCCTTACCCCAACTCTGAAAAAGGACCCTCCTAAGAATAGTAGTAAGTAACGAGACTCGGGCTCTCCCAGGTTAACAAGTGTAAGAATGTCTGTAGATAATCATAATTGCACGTGTTGGGTTTCGTCACACGGTGGCAGTGTTTAGTGCTTTAAATGTTCTAATTCGTTACATCATGGGACCTTCCTTTGCCAGTACCAGAAAACTATAAACTAGACCAGATGACACCAGAAGGCGCCTTTTGGCGTCCTCTGGTCTAACACGGTTTGAGACTAGGCAAAAAATAAAGCTGTCTCTGGTGTGGACCAATCAGTTTCAAAGACAATGCATATATTATCAGAGTATGTTTTTTGTTTGCATTCTGACCACAAGTATTGTGGTTAATGCAGACATGATTCCTTGGAAAAGGTTTCAGTTTGGTGTTTTAATATCTTAACACCTGTTTTGTTGCCATAAAAAAGGGGAAAACCTATTCTGATATTCTAATTCGTTTTAAAACCGCGTGTCATCCATAATACAGGTTTTGTTTTGGGTTAGATCGCGTAAATGTATAAATGTGTCGTTAAATTCCTCCACCACCCGACACAGCCAATTTGTAAGGTTTGTCACGTAAACAGAACATGCCAATTTGTTACTAGTACAGCGCACAGTCTAATGCAGCTAGTTGTAATTACTGGCGAAACGTCGTACTCAGATTGTAAATATTATGGCTTTGCTTTCCAGCACACCGGTGTGCTGTACTAGTAACGAATTGCATTGTTCTGTTGACTAGACAAACCTTACTAATTGGCTGTGTCGGGGAGTGGCGGGTTTAACGACACATTTATATATTTACGCGATCAATAAAAAAACCTGTATTTTGGATATTGGTCGCGAAAGCCTACGTGTTAAATTAACCGTGTCAGTCCATTGCTCTATGGACAGTATAAATAATAAAGGCAGTTACACAAATGGAATAGCCACACAAAATAGGCGAATAAAGTTCCAAAATTCATATTAAAGTGCGAGTCAGACAGGATGATTTGTTTTTTGACAACATTTAGTTGGAGAAACATATATATATAAAGTGTATGCAATACTGTAAATGGAGAAAACATCAATCACAGGGTTGCTGATGAGCCATTATAACATGCGATGGGAATGAACCACGGGAAATGATAGAAGGGCTTAATAAGGAACTCTACACCATTCGACACAGGACGATTGAGCAAAATAAAGGTCCTATAAAAATGCGTTCACTAAACAATTTGAGATCTCTTTCAGAGCAACACCGCTGGAAAATTAGACAGAAAATATGTCAATTTGCCTGGAACAGATGTTTAAGGTTGACCAGTATGAACACGATGAAAGAGACTGAATTCATAATATTGACAGCAAATGCATGGTTTGATAATTTCAAGTTTACTTCATTCAACTGGGTGAGAATGTAACCAGGTGAGATCACGGTCGTCTAATTTGCACGAGTGTCCTGAGGCATTAGTGTGCCAGTAGGGTGGGATGATTCCTGCTTATAATCCAAATTGAGTCATTTGCGGGTAATTTACGAAATTTGGAACCTGACACCAGCAAACAATGGCCTACTCGTTTTGAATCACGTCCCATGATCTTTAACGTCCACTGTGAAGCATACGGCGCATACTATTATGGTTTTACATCCTCAGTAAAGAGCAGGGTGGCCGCTGAATTCCCACCGCGAGCCTCTGCAACAAACTGCGAACGCACTTTAGGCCATGTCACCGCCTGTATGATGGTTATCCCACTGCATAAAGTCAATAATTAAATACGTTATCAGGCACAGAATTTAACTTCAGTGTTAAAGTACGTAAACATTGCTAAACAAAACACAATGGATTCATCAACACAAATATGAACCAAATTAAATCCCCAAACATTTTTTGATTTGTTATTTATGTGTACATGTTATTATTTACCAGTATAAATACTTGGAAACATCAGTGTTCGTTTGTGTAAAGATAATCACATTGAGGTCAGAGAACAAAGTCTGATGCAGAGAATATTCTAATTGTGGTCTGTCAGTCATCTAGGTTGCCATTGTTTTTCTTTGCAATTAAAAAGTGTTGTCTACAAATATAAAAACCTGGAATGAAGAGGGAAGACGTATCTATGAACACATAATGCTTCTTGTAAATTACAAACACAGTACCTGTACTGAGTTATACACATTACTTGTCTACAATACAATATGATGAAGATTATAGAATATGCATGCACATGCAGACTACTTCCTTTTTCTCTCTTTCAGCAATGTTATGGAAAAATGAAAATGCTTTACATGGGCATAGGAATCAAGGAGTCAATTGGACAGTTGCCACCGCGGCTTGCTGTGACCATATAACATGGGCACTTTGGTTTCTTGTCCCTCCCAACTGAAAAATAAATACTTTGCTTATTCATGAATGAAAGCCACACTACATCGTATGATTCTTTTTCAGGAGGGTCCTGCATTAGATTTTTATGTTCAGATGTTTCAGCCGGAGAAAACCCATGCGTGCGAGGGCACACCACTCTATCCCGTCGAGATTGAAACAGATGGCGAATAGTCAAAATGCTGCACTACCTTCCCCTGGCGAGCAAGAATATCGCACCTCGACTCCCATCAGAACGGTGTTTCACAACATTTGTGAGATCTACAAATAGAGTACTGTAGTTCCCAATGTGACTAATAATGTATTTCATTACTTTGAAAACTACTCGTGCATAACTTCTCATACTATACTCATCGAAGCATATACATCACGTATCTACTTCATATGATGAGCAGATTGTACATATGTTTGTAAGGGATAAAAAGTGATATCCAAAATATCTTGTTGAAAAAACACCTTTACTGTACAGTATATATAAACTGTATAAAGACGTATTCTTGGTTCTTTCGGTAAAGTCACGTAGAAGGGAAGT